ACCATTATCAACAAATATTTATTTTATTAAAAACTTTGTTAATAACAAACCTTTTGACTGTTTAATTAATGGCAGGAATATTCTGGTGACTCGTAATACACCGAAAACGTTGACTTCAAACACATTTTGTATGGACTCTAATGAACCCCAATCTAGACGTCCGAATAGCCCAATACCCGCGTTGTTGACCACTGACCACAAAACCCCATTGTTTTTGGTGAGATCTTCAGATACCTGTTGGTAGACATGTCGGACCTCCTGATCGTTAGTGACATCCATTTTGATGACAACCATCTGAGCGGTGAACCGACACTCTTTGGACAGCATTTGTGTGCCGGAAGTGTTTGTGTCGTAAACAGTGGCGTAAACTCTAAATCCGAGTCCATTGAGACTCAACGATAGCATATGTCCAAACCCAGTGTCACATCCTTTTGTGACAAAGTTTTAAAATTGCAAAATTAAGATTAAATATACCTGTTATTAGAACAGCCTTTCCATTTGGTGTAATTTTCCAACATTTCCAATTTATAACAGCTTTCCTTAAACATTGAATTATTTTATAAGTTATGCATAGAATGAGAGAAATTGTTATTATATTTCCAACTATTATACAAAAGTAATAATAAAATAATTTAAAAAATTCCAAACAATTATTTGAAATCAAATATAAGCTGGACATTATGCATATGACAACTAAATAGTATGAGAACTAATGCAATATTCTATAAATTTTTTATATATCTTAAACTATTTATTTCAAAATTGTCTTAAATTGAATTTTAAAAACAGTAATATAAAAGTTTATTACAAATCCTACAAAACAAAAATATAAAATAACTTCTAGCTTAACTTGATTATTATATTTTTGTATTGTAATTGTTTGTTTTGAAAGAATAATTATATATTACGTGAATTTAATTAAAAATAATGTTAAATATATGTAAATTTCGAGAAAAATAAATCAAAAAATAAATGTGCTAGAAGTGGAATAGAACCCGGGTTCAAAATGTTAAATGTGCGACACACTACCATTGGGCCACTGAAATTGTTTAAATGTATAATGATTAAAATTCATATTCATTAATATTTAAATAGTTTTTCGGGTTTTTGGGTGGCGAGGAGCAACCAGATTTTTATAATTTTGGGCAAAATGTTTTTTATTGATGCCAATTCACCTAGCAATACCAATCTGGCATTTGCAAAAGTGTGT